AAGCACCAACTCAGCCAATTGGACCAAAACAAGGATAAGCACATTTTCTTAGAAGCAGTTGTACTTTATCGCCGTCGATGTATTTCGTTAGAGTTGGGAGCTTATCACCACCGTCCTTTGCTACATTGGATACTAACTTTTCCAGGGATGCATTCATGAATTGCAGAGAGTCGATAAAATCCATGTTATCGATGAAGAAGGATATGTACTTCTCGCTGTTGTTCGGGATGCAGTTGATCTTTTCATCCTTAAAGTTCCCAAGCCCTTGCATAATCAAGTGAGGCTTGTACCAACGAAGATTGTTAAGAATAACGGGAATGCGTAAAGTAAAACCATAGTTCATATTGAAGTCATTAGGGGCAGCGCCACGAAACATTCCTGTGATATGACAGTGGTCACGAACACGGTCATCTCCCAATTCAAAACCACAGATATGACAGTTAATGACGTTTTGAAACATCTGTTCTTCTTCGTTCTCAATACGCATCGGCTTGATGTAGCGAAGTTTTTCTTCGATGTGTTGCTATTCTGTCTCTAAGCACTCGAGGAACTTATCCACGGCGTCCTCGCCACGATAAACGACAGGAGGTTTGTTGTATTTTTCTGCCTCTGACACGATTATAGACGAAAATCCACAAGGTTGGTGGTGTTGATATTTCTCGGTAGATGATTTAGTTGGATTTGGGGAAACTGAGTCGATTTTGGCTGTGACGCTTTCAAAATCAGCATAAATAACGAATGGTACCTTGAGTTGTTTGTAATAATCTTTGAAATGGAGTGAAGCGTTGTCTTCATTCCGTAATTCAACACGCTAGGCGCCATGTTGAAAACAGTGCGAATCATGGTCTTGTAGAAGGTCTTCTCGGATATATCCATGTTGACAGTATTGCAATAGAAGATTCGATATTTACGATCATTTTGATCATACATTAATTTATTCGAATCTTTGATGAGGGAGTAATGTCTGGTTGTTCCCTGGGAGAATAATAATAGATTGACGTGAGTATCAAAGTGCTCTTCGTAAGGTGGATGGGAAAGAGTACATCTTCGAAACCAATTACATTCACTGAGATGTTGTTCTGACGTTCAAATCTTCCGATCTTGTTAACAGTAACAGAGAATTAAATACCATCAAAGTTTAGTTCATTGGATGACGTTGATGAGGAATTAGATGCAGAGCGGCGAGAATGTACCACATAAAACACTTGTTATCAGAATTATCAACATTAATTATGGCTTTCTATAAATGAATATTTACGGTAAGGAATATAACTGGAACCATTGAGTGGAGTGTATTTCGCCATGTTGAGGTATAAATGAAGTATTTCATCTAGAATCCACCACTTGCTTCCTTCCTTCTGATAGATCGCCAAGGAATCCAGAATTTTGCTAGAAGCTTCTTGTAGTTGTTTCTTCATGTCGTGAACATTAACCGTTGTAGTACACAGGTTGCGAAAATGCGGTTCACTGAATAGGTCTTCGCCATCCACTTTTGATTTGATGAATCTCGCTTTCACACTGACAAACCATTTCAATCCTTTCCTCATTTCCAGCTCTTTCGATAGATGAGTTAGAATCGATTTGCATTTATCACGCAGAAATTGGGACATATCATTTTTTGATATTTTCGCGGTTTCAGTTCAATTTTCTTCAGGTTTTCCTCGAAAGCAGATGTGAGATTACACGGATCGCCATCTCCATGGCCACTTGAATCGGAGGAGTGAGCTGTCCTATCCACTTTACTCCTCTTAACCATAGCAGGGTCAACTATATCATTATATATATCTATATATATAAATATATATATATATATATATATATATATATATATATATATATATATATATATATATATATATATATATATATATATATATATATATATGCCCATGCACAGGTTGTTCAATTGAGGCCAATGAGCTACTGTTTGAAACGGCTAGTATATAAAACGTATTTGAAATTACAACATTTAATAAGAATCTTAAAAATTACGATCTAAGCTTTCGTCGATCCACGACATCATCAAACAAAACATTTATCTGTCACCATACAAAACATTTATCTCTGATGATGTCGTGGATCGATTAAAGCTTAGATCATAATTTTTAAGATTCTTATTAAATGTTGTAATATCAAATACGTTTTATATACTAGCCGTATCAAACAGTAGCTCATTGGCCTCAATTGAACAACCTTTCATCAAACACAATGCTACTGAAGGACAACCACCTACGTTTAATCACACTGGGCTTGGGCCAAAAAAGAAACAACAATTGTGTTTCCTACAGAAGTGCTCTGAACTCACTGTATTCCCGCCGACGATCAACAATCTACATCTGCCAGTTCTGCTGCAAGTTCCATCCTGTAAAGACTTTGCGTTACAATTGAAGCGTAACATTATGAACAAATGTAAACAGCAATTACGCAGAGCTATTGCGAAAGACTGTCAGACACAACGTGGGCTAGACCATCTGCTATTAACAATGACCTCCTCGTGTACAGCTAGAAAGATTAAGTCTCATAGATACCTGGTTTACAACACGTCTAGTAAATTTCACAGAGTAAGACTAACCAAGAAACTTAACAACATCTCCGTAAATCGAGTCCAAACTATCCTCAAACCCATCATACTACGATTAATAACGCCAGCACACCCATGCAAACTGAACTAATGGTAACCGACCTTAGTCACAATCTTAACGATCAAGAACTAAACCTTTTAGCTAAAGGACAAAAGTTTGGCTTAATGGACGGAGTCGACAACAACACTATCGATGACTTTCAGGCAAGCTTCTATAGGCTAGCAAACTCGCTACGAAGGAGTGAATACCAGGAACGCACACAAGCTACACAACAGACCACAATCGAAACCTACCCAAAAAGCTGTTATATCAGGAAACCCGAAAGCAGCACTGATCTTGAACAAACTCTTAAGAAGATTCATAACGACTATCAGCGAATAGTGAAGTCCATCCAGCCTAAACCGAAGTAGAACAACCTCAACTCTGCAGAGAAACACACCATTAAAGCCTTACGCAAGAAAGACAACATCTATCTGTCAAGTGACAAAGGCGGTGAGTTCTGTGTAACTGACGTACAAACATACAACGAAGCAACCCTACAGCACCTTGAAGACCCCCATACATACCGGAAAATAACTCGTATGTCCGCGAAAACTGTCGAAGACAAAATAAACCCAGTATGGAAAGACATATGCGTTAGAAGAAACATACCTAAGTTCGTGAAGCGTTGTTACATACCTAACAACACTGAGCTACCACGGTTCTATCACCTTGTCAAACACACACAAAATAGAACAGAGCATTAAGATTAGACCTATTGTGTCTAACGCTAATGGCCCTACCACCCGACTCTCATGGTTACTCGCGCGAATTCTCAAACCACAACTTAAGAATATTCCTGCACACTTGGAAAATAGTATGCAGTTGATAGAACAAATCCAGAAAGCAGACCATAAAACTAACCAAGAACTACCTTATCCGTACAGCCTCAATGTGGTAGCGCTCTACACCTCAGTCCCAGCCTACGAAGCCATCGACGTAGCGGTTGATTCACTACCAACCTTCTCTGGACCACTCAACAAAGGCGATATCAAAGAATTACTAACAGTTCTTCTGCGCAACATTTATTTTCACTTCGGTACTCGAATCTTCCTTCAGATCGAAGGCCTCCCAATGGGCTCCAACCTCTCAGGTATGCTAGCCATTTTATTCATGAATAGACTAGAACGAGACTATTCCCATCCCCTACGCAGGGGCGTAGTGAAGGGGGGAGGGAGGGGGCAAGGGGGGGGGCGGTCGCCCCACAATCGCAAAAAAAACTATTCTCTGAAAAAGGCTAAA